AAAAAAAAAAAAAAAAAAATTCTCACTCAACCATTTCCTTACTATGTTTCATTCTGGCCTAGTATATAAACACCGACACCTCCTATTATTGTGGATTGAACACACAGCCTTCTGTGTGCTAGGCAAGTTCTCTACAGGCAAGCTATATCCCCACATTTACCTCTCTCTCTTTTTTTTTTATAAATTGAGACAGGGCCTCACTGAAATGCACAGGATGGCTTTGAATTTGTGACCCTCCTGCCTCAGCCTCTGGAGTAGCTGGATTATAAGCATGCACCACAACCTGGCAGCAAACTTGTATTTGAGTTGGTAGTTAAAAAAAAAAAAAAAAAAAAGATACCATGCCAGATGTTCCAGGTGTTATACAAGGCCTGAAGTGACACATCCAATCCCAACCAGCTCTTGATAAATGCTTTCAGGGTACTGGGTCTGTCTCTTGTCAGAGGCCTTTCTGTTTGGGTCAGGCCTCTGACTGGGATCATGATCACCCACAATCCAGCATGACTCTCCTAATGAATACATTACGTGAACATTCTTAGGCAGTGCCCTCTTCACCTTGGGGGCTCCCAAGTTTCTCTGAGGCAGGCAGCTAAACTGTGACACCTTTCTCCAGATCAAGCATCTCTTCCTGAATGAGGGACACCCCTGGCTTGGCATGGTCAGTCATGCTCAAGGTTGGCAGCACAAGAAAACAATCATAAGAGCTGGGCATGGTGGTGTGCATCTATAATTCCAGCACTTGGGAGGTTGAAACAGGAGGACCTCTGCAAGTTTAAGGCCAGCTTGGACTACATAGTGAGTTCAAGGCCAGACAGGACTACACAGTGAGTCCCTGGCTCAAAAGACCAGAAGAAACACCAGTTTCAAAGAATACACACAGAGAACTGAAGTTGAACTAGCAACGGTCTCCACTGTTCAGTCACCTTCAAGGTGGGATTCAAAGTTTTGTGAGGCAAGAATTTCTTGTATTTTTTTTCTTCTTGGGCCAGAAAGATCCCTGGGTTTTCAAATGGCGATGATAGCAGTCAGTGTAGCCCACCATGCATTTGGATAAAATGGAATACAAACTATGAAAGTGTGTTCTGAGTGTGGTATTTTCAGGCCAATCTTGGTATTGAGTGCTTTCAAACAGTTTCAATTACTTCTAAGAACCCTGATGATATTTGTAAAATGGTAAGGGAGGACTCAAAGGACAGGCAGTTTACCCAGGGTCACAGGAATATAATAAGAAACTCTGGAATTTTAAGCACCCTGAACCATATTTTTACACATGATGCCATAAACTAGGGCTAAGTGACTCTGATACAGAAAGGGATGGTAAGTAAAACAGGCAAGTAAGAAAGAAGAAAGGGGGTGGAATTATGAAAGCATTCCTAGCAGAAGAGACATGTGACTGAGTATCTAAGAGGACTGAGCTCACTGGACCACTCTAGTTTTCTTTTTTATCACCCAGCTGACCCACTTATTGGAGGTAAGGTAAGGCACTGTTTTGACAACAAAAGGGAGTATAAAATCAATTCCCTAAAAATTTTGTCCTAGTCTTACCCTAGGGTTTCAGGACAGACATGGGGAAACACTGTCCTTGCCATCAAGGCAAGACATTGAAACAACTATCTTATGTTAAAGTAAAAAGATTTTTTAAAAAAAAAAGTGATGGAAATAGTTTAAATGTCATACTGTTCATAGTATTAGATCAGTATAACCTTTTTTTTTTTTTTTTTTTTTCACTTATGGTTAATTTGTTAATCTCACTCTTTCGAGGCAGGCTCGATGCCACTGGCTAAATCCCCGACTCCAGTATAACCTTTTGAGAAGCATAAGCAATAAGGACATCTTGAATTAGTTTTGTGCATTTTTTTTTTTTTTTTACACACTATGAAAAATGAATCAGAGTTTTTGGTAATTTTGTGTATATGTTATGGTATTTTTTTTTTTTTTTTTAGTACCAGGGATCGAACTCAGGACCTTGTGCTTGCGAGGCAGGTGCCAGCACCACTGAGCTAAATTCCTGGCCCATTTTTTTGCTTTTTGAGACAGGATCTCACTATATGGTCAAGACTGGTTTTGAATTCACTATGGAGTCCAGGCTAGCCTCAAACTTGTGGTAATCCTCCAGCTCAGCCTCTCAAGTGCTAGGATTACAGGTGTACACAACCATGCCTATTAAATCAATTATCTCATAAATGAGCATTTGGTGTGATACACTGACAGAATTTTTTAAAAAAAGGTCCATCCATACAAAAAGGTTTGAGTATTATCTATTTGGCAACATATTTCAAATATAAATATGCTTCAAACAACTGCATATACTAAGGCTGCCTCATGTAAAACACTTATGAATATGGATAAAGTGTGGAAAACAACAGTTTAAAATGAACAAAACAGGACTAAGATGACAAGTGAGAACGAATTATTCTTTCCAACATTTCTGTCATATTGTGTAAAGAACAGGCAAAAGGCCTACTTTTCTAACAGTCTAACATGCAAAATGGCACCGGTAATCATGAAAAGTTAACTCACCTGCTTTCCATCCACTTCAATATCTGCCACATAGTTCTCAAACACTGTGGGCACATATACTTCTGGGAACTGGTCCTTGCTAAAAACTATGAG